CGTGTTAAGCAGTTGAGGGGCAAGGAAGTCTCATTTATAAAGGTGATTTGGAGCTCAAGTGATGAGGGAGATGCCACATGGAAAACAGAGAGTAGAATGAGAGAGTTGTACCTGGAGTTATTTGTTTAGTTGGGTTAAATTTCAGGGACGAAATTCTCAAAAGGAGGAGAGAGTTGTAACGCCCCAGATTTTGTAATAATACTTTAATATATTAATATAAATGTATAAATCGATCTTTGAATGTGCATTTGAAAGTAACTATAGTTGTGAAGATGTATGAATATGTGGTTAAAATGTGATGTGGAATGTGACTGGACTGGAATTGATTGAATATATATATATATATATATATATATATATATATATATATATATATATATATATATATATATATATTCTCGCTATAGCGAGAAGACCCTGAGCGAAGAGCATGAAACTGTGTCATTCTTGCAGTAGTGAGAAGGCACTGGAAAAAGGAGGTGAGACTGTTGCGTTCTCACTGTGGATATATATATATATATATATATATTCTTGCTATAGCGAGAAGACCCTGAGCGAAGAGCATGAAACTGTGCCATTCTTGCAGTAGCGAGAAGGCACTGGAAAAAGGGGGTGAGACTGTTGCGTTCTTGCTGTAGTGAGAGTTCCCTCGCTACAGCAAAAGAGCAACAGTGGATGTTACATTTCTGGATACAATCTCACTGTAACGAGAAGGTCTCGTTGTAGCGAGATTCTGCAGAAACCAGAGTGTAGTTTCCTCTAAGATTTTCACTGTAGCAAGAGAGGGTGTCCCTGCAGCGAGAATATCTCGCTATAGCGAGAGTGTTGCAACCAGAAAGAGATTTAAAGGGTTTAGGGTTTTAGAAATTTCATTTCTCATATCTCCCTCCAAAATCTCTTCGATTCTTTCGTCTTAAAACCTTATTTGACTGATTAAATTGCCTCCAATGCCATTTAGAAGCTAGATTGAAGATTAAAATTACGTTTGGGACATTTGGAGGTAAGTTTTAATGGTTAGAGTTTCGGTTTCTCGACCTCATTCTCTATTTTCTCGGTTTCCCTTGGTTCTCATGAGATTCTTCCATGTATTTACCACATAATTCATGTAGGGACCACTTTCCTTATTGATTTCATGTGTGGGTTTTCATGTTGAGGTAAAGGGGACTTTACCCTATCTCATTTTGCTAGAGATTTGTTTATTTTGCTATGTATGGCAATATGATTGAAATAGGATGTGGAAACACGTGTGTTGATGGGTATTTTATGCTGGATATGATGTACTCTATGTTAGTTGATATTGAGTGTAATGGGGTGACTTGATTGTGGTAAAGTTTGTGTGAAAATCTAATGTTTGTGTATAATGTGATTGAGAATGTGAATGAAATGTGTCTAGATATGCCATTGATTATTATGCATAGTATGAAATGATGGGAAAGTGTATGATGGCATGTCGAATGTGAATGTGAATATAGATGTGGTTGTGTTTGAAAATGTTAGAATTTCGTGAATGGTTCAGCGATACACTAGGAGTGTGAAAGATTAGGGCGATAGAAATACCTTGGGGAAGAAAGGGTGGTGATGGCACCAACAATGAGCATGGGTGCACCATAGGTAACACACTCTCCTCCTGACTCGTCCCTTGACTAACACCTTTGTCGAGGAGCTCGTGATCGCATACGTTGTATCCATGAGGTGAGGGCTAACCAGCGACCATCCATGATGTGAAACTGTGATCACAGTGCCATAGTAAGCGTGGCTGCATGCAGCGAATGCATGTGTGTGTGGGATATTTATTGGTGCAATAAGCGCACCTGTCCGTAAATTGAAATGAAATATTGAAGTATGTTGCTTGTGATTGCTAATGTTTAGTTTGAAATATGTTAGAAAATATGTGGAATAGGCAAGGTGAGACTCTATGCTTATTTGTGTGTGTAGGATAGTGTAGAGTACTCACCCTTGCATTTATTTTTTAGGTGACCAAGACGATCAGCACCCGACTCAATGAAGGGATGAATGACACTACTATAGGGCTTAGATTTTATTTTGAAAATATGATGTAACTAAATTAGTCCTGTAGCAGTTACTCACTACAAATTTGTCAGCCCTTATTATTTTGAAATGCTTTGTGAAATTATGTGTTGGGAAAATATATTTAAATGAAAATTTTATTATTTCTATTTTACAAAATTTATTATTTTAAAATTAAATTTACGGTGTTACATCAATCTCCTCAACTTCCTACAAAGTGGCTTAATTTTGCAGGAAGTGCTTCAAGCGGTGTCTATTTACCATAAAGCTCTTGCTAGTGGAGTCACTTTTAATTTCCATTGCACATGAGGGAATACCTTTATGACTAAGAATGGACTTATCTATCTTGATTTAAGCTTTTCGGGCATGGCTTTAAGATGAAAGTTGAATAAGAGGACCTTTTGACCAATGTAGAATTCTTTCCTTGATATCATCTTGTCATGGTATCTCTTGGTCCTTTTCTTTGTAAATCCTTGAGTTCTCATACGCCTCAAGACATAGCTTCTCTAACTCTTGCAGTTGCAACTTCCTTTGTTCTCTAGCTAAATCATATTGCAGATTACAAGTTTTTACTGCCAAGTATGCCTTGTGTTCTACTTCAACTAGCAAATGACAAGTTTTTCCATAGACAACTCTATACGGAGACATGCCCAATGGTGTCTCGAATGTAGTCTTGTGTGCCCACAATGCATCATTGAGCCTTTGACTCTAATATTTGCTGTGGGGTTGCACTACTTTCTTTAGTATCTTCTTTATTTCTCTATTAGAGAGTTCGACTTGCCCATTCGTTTGTGGGTGGTAGGCAGTGGAAACTTTGTGTAGAACTTCATATTTCATCAACAAGACTTCCATTGTTCTGTTGCAAAAGTGACTACCTTGGTCACTAATGATATCTCTAGAGATTCCAAACCTGCAAAACAAGTTACTATGGACAAAGTCTACAACAACCCTAGCATCATTAGTTCTGGTGGCCTTAACTTCCACCCATTTTAAGACATAATCAACAAGTAGTATATAAAAAAAATCAACAGATGAAAGGAAGGGTCTCATGAAGTCAATACCCCAGACATCAAAGATGTCACAATATAGTATGGGCTATTGGGGCATCTCTTGTCTCTAATTGATCACTTCTCGTGCTCTTTGGCATCTCTCACATGTGGATTATGTTTGCCATGAGGCTTTGAAAATTAAGGGCCAATACATTCTTGCATCTAACAGTTTTCTTACTGTCCTCTGAGGTCCTTGATGACCTCCTACAGCTGAGACATGACAGAACTGTAGTATGGATGAGATTTCTTCATTAGGTATACATCTTTTAATGACTCGGTCATTGCAAAATTTCTATAAATAAGGGTCATCCCATATAATGTTTGGTATCACTTTTAATCTTTTCCTTTTTAGTCCTTGGTGCACTTGCTAGACAAGCTCCTGCAACTAAAAAATTAACAATGTCAACATACCAAGGCACTTGTGAAGCATACAACTCTAAGAGTTGCTCATCAGGGAAATCATTCTGGAGTGGAATAGGTTCAAGGACTCCCTCCATTCTGCTCAAATGGTTTGCTACTAAGTTCTAAGTTTCACTTATGTCCTTGATTTCTAAATCAAATTCTTGAAGTAAAAGCATCTACCTTATAATCCTGGGCTTAGAATCTATCTTTTTTAGCAAATACTTTAAGGCAGAATGATCAGTAAAAACCACAACTTTTGACCTTAAAACATATGACCTAAACTTATCCAATGCAAAGACTATGGCCAATAATTTTTTTTTAGTTGTGGTATAATTACACAGTGCTGGGTCTAAGGTTCTAGAAGCATAGTAAATAACATAGGGAAGTTTACTAACCAGCTGTGCCAAGGTAGCTCCTACTGCGAAATTAGATGCATCAAACATTAATTCAAACGGCCTTGTCCAATCTGGAGGTCAGATGATAAGCGTGATGGTCAGGGCTTCCTTAAGAATGTCAAATGCTTCTTTTCACTTTTCATCAAAGTTGAACTCAGCATCTTTTTACAAAAGTTTGGAAAGAGGGATGGCAATCTTGAAGAAGTTCTTAATGAATCTCCTACAGAACCCTGTATGGCCAAGAAAAGCATGAACCTCTCGGATACAAGAGGGGTAAGGCAATTGTGCAATAACATCTAAATTTGTAGGATTTACTTCAATGCCTTTTTCAGATATAATATGGCCTAGCACTACACCTTGCTCTACCATGAAATGACATTTTTCAAAACTCAGCATAAGGTTAGTGTTTATGCATCTTTTCAAAACTTTCTCTAAGTTAACTAAGCATACAGAAAAAGATGGCCATATACAGTGAAATTATCCATAAAGACTTCTAATTCAATGCTCCACTAAGTCAGAAAAAATGCTCAACATACATCTTTAACATGTGCCATGAGCATTACATAAGCTAAAAAGGCATTCTCCTATAGGCGAAGGTACCAAAAGGACATGTAAAAGTAGTTTTCTCCTGGGTCTTCAGGTGCTATATGTATTTGGAAATAACCAAAAAAATCATCAAGAAAATAGTAATGAGACTTACCACCTAACCTTTTTAGCATCTGGTCAATGAAGGGTAGTGGAAAATGATCATTTTTGGTTGCTTGGTTTATCCTTCGGTAGTCTATACAGACTCTCCAATTATTCTGAACTCTGGTGGGTATTAGTTCATCTTTTTCATTCCTTACCACGGTGAGTCCAGATCTTTTTGAAACCAACTGGACCAGGCTGACCCAAGGGCTATCTAAAATAGGATAGATGATCGCAGACTGTAGTAGCTTGGTGACTTCCTCCTTCACCACATCCAGAATGAGAGGATTCACCCTCCTCTGAGGCTGCCTCACTGGTTTAATACCCTCCTCTAACAACATTTTGTGTATACACAAAGAGGGACTAATTCCAGAAATATCAGCGAGTGTCCAACCTATAGCTTTCTTATGCCTCTTTATCACTTCAAGGAGTCTTTCCCCTAATCAACATCTAGTTTGGTGGAGATCATCACTGGAAGCTTTTCACCTGACTCTAGATAGGCATATTTTAAACATTCTGGTAAAGGCTTAAGCTCTAGTGTGGGAAGTTGCTCCACAGAGGGACACTTTCTGCAACATTCAAATCATGAAGGTCAGATTCAACTGTACTTATTGTAATCAATAAATCACATTCTACCCCTATTGATTTTTCAATCTCTTCAACATCAGAGGTTGTAGAATTTGCATTCAAAAAATAAAAAATACAAGTATCACACAAAGAAGAATTATTACAATAGTCACAAATGGGAGTGTCTATAGAATCAGAAAAATTAAGAAAAAAATATTCTTCTAAAAACTTAGAAAAATTATCATCTATCAGAGCATTAAAAAGATCAATCTGGAAGACAAAGTGTTCTTCAGGTGGGTGCTTCATAGCATCCAGTATGTTGAATCGCACTATGCTATCTCCAAACTCCATGGTAAATGTCTCGGCATGCACATCAATTTTCGTTCTTGCAATCTTCAAGAACGGTCTTCCTAAGATAATTGGTGCAGCACTCTTCATTGGTTCTTCTTTTTGCATATCTAGGATGTAGAAGTCAGTTGTGAAAATGAGGTCATTCATTCTGACTAACACGTCCTCCACAATTCCACTTGGCCTTCTTATGCTTCTATTGGCCAACTGGATAACCATACTTGTGGGCTGCAAGGGTCCAAGAGATAGTGAAGTAAAAATAGACAATGGCATAACATTGATGGATGCTCCTAGATCTAGCATGGCATTATCATTCCTATTGTTACTAATGATGCATGGAACAGTAAATGTCCTTGGGTCTTTACATTTTTCAGGAATTAAGGACCTCTGTTTCTCAAAAAGTGCAAATACATTCCACCCATGTTCACCCTTTCATTACCTTTCAGACGCTTTCTGTGGGTGCACAAATCTTTTAGAAATTTGGCGTATCTGGGTATTTATTTAATTGCATCTAGTAGAGTTATATTCACCTATACTTTTCTGAAGGTCTCTAAAATCTCTGTCATTTTCCTCAGTCTTCTTACTTGGCTAGATGACTCTTTGAGAAAATGTTAGAGGAACTGTTCTTTCAATATTTTCTGCCACCTTTGGTTGGGCAGGTGCAGGTTCTGGTTGTTCCTGAATGTTTTCCTCTCAATTTTGATCAATTGTAGTTGGAGTACAACTTAAATCTTCCTTGCCTTTAGGCATTTCAGGCTCTTGCATCACTTTTCTCGATCTTAAGATTACTGCACTCACATTTTTGGGGTTTACAACAGTCTGTGCAGAGAGATTTCTTGAACCTCAAGATTGAATTTGGTTCAGAGAGGAGGCTAATTGTCCCATTTTTTTTCTCCAGAGTCTTAATACTTAATACTAACCTCAGTTCTTTGCTGGAAAGTGATGTTGTTCATGGCCATTTGTTTCATGAGCTCTTCCAATGATGGCTCATTCTTTTGGGGTGCACTGGGTTTTGAAAAGGATGGTTGGTGATGTTATGGGGCTTGTTGTTATTGATGGGGTTTACTTGGACCAGTATAATGTGCTTGATGTTGGTTGCCTTGCTGTTGATTATTCTGATATAAGGAGTTTCTCCATCCCAAATTTGGATGGTTTCTCCAACCAGGATTATATTTATTTGAAGATAAGTCCTAATTGGGCTGCTGTTGCGGCTGCTAAAAAGGGAACTTGTTAGTGTAAATATTTGCAACATAAGCTTAGGGGTTACCTTCCAGAGTGTTAGTTTCTTGAAATGTGGAGAAGCTATCAGTATAATGATCTATGGCTGAGCATATCCCATAAAGCATAGCTGGAATGGATGGTGATGGTGGAGCAGGTACAACAGCAGTCTTTTGCAGTGAAGCTAATTGCTTCACCATGGCAGCCAACTCATCAATCTTGTGCTCTAATTTGTTGGGCTCTGCAGTCTGGATTTTACTCACTCCTTTAGTCACACAAGAGTTTTGTCTTGTTGCAAATTGCTGGGAAATAGCAGCTATATTTTCAATCAAATTATAGGCTGCAACCGAAGTTTTGTCCACTAATGCTCCTTCACTATCATGTTTCTATCCATGGGATGCAGTTCCTCATAAAAGTATTGAATGAGCAATTGATCACTAATTTAGTGGTGGGGACAGTTGGCACACAATCTCTTAAATCTTTCCCAGTATTCATAGAGTGTCTCTCTCAAGTTGTCTTATCCCACAAATTTCTTTCCTTATAGATGTAGCTCTTGATGTTGGAAAGAATTTATCTAGGAAAAGTATCTTCAAGTTGTCCCATCTGGTTATGGATCCCGGTGGGAGATAATAAAGCCAATCCTTTGTTGCATCCATTAGAGAAAAATGGGAAGGCTTTTCAACTTGACATGTTCTTTAGGTATATCTTATGGCCTCATGATCGAACAAACTAAATGGAATTCCTTGAGATGCTTGTACGGATCTTCACCTGCAAGGCCATGGAATCTAGGCAACAAGTGTATCAGTCCAGTTTTAAGAATAAAAGGAGCATCAATGTCAGGATACTGTATGCATAAAGTTTGATAAATTACATCAGGTGCAGCCAGTTCCTTTAATGTCCTTTAATTATCAGCAATTTTTTCAGTTTGAAAATCTAAAGAATGCGGTGAACAGTAGATGGATGAAGGAGAAGAAAGTTGCTCTTATGTATCCTAATGTTACTATAGAAAGTCCTATCAATTTCCAGATCAAATGGATACAAGTCTACAGGATTTGATCTGGTCATGCATTAGGAAGTAACTATAAGAAATGGAAAGAAGTAAACTAAATGAAGTAACAAAAATGCACAAACTACAAAACAATTGTAAAGAAAAATGCAACACCAAGTTAAGAATTCTGCAGAATTATGCAGCAAAACAGAGCAAAATTGTAGAGAATTCAAAATGCTATGTAATAAGGCAAAAATACAGAAAGTAGTGCTCAAAAATTGCAAAAAAAATAGCAAAATTATATGCCTAAATGCAGAACTACTCTATCCAATACAAATTTATATCAATGTTAATATATTCACAATGTAGATAATTCGAAAACAAAACACTAAAATAGAGTGTTTAACAAATTTAATGCAAAAATTAACACCAATGTCCCTAGCAACAACGCCAATTTGATGATTGCTTATATTTGCATAAGGATTTGTCGTCAATCCTCGTTAAAATAAGCAGAAAAATGTATGTAGTTTAGGATGGAAGCCTAGTTTGTCTCCGATGACATTGGTCGAGAATATGCATCAAACATGTTATAAACATTAACTACGAAAATAATTAATTAAGGGTGTAACGCCTCAAATTTTGTAATGTTGTTTGATTATTAATGTAACACCTAGATTTTAATTTCAATTAAATAATGATTTCACAAATTTGAATAACTAAATTTTCATAAGATATTTTGAAGTAAGAGGGGGGTTACAGATTAATATCAAATAACTGCTACAGGACTAGTTCCATTATAACATTTTCAAAATAAAATCTAAGTCCTATAGCAGTCCATCTGTCCCTTCACTGAGCCCGATGCTGATCGTCTTGATTACCTGAAAAATGAATGTAAGGGTGAGTACTCTACACTACTCAAAACACACAAATAACTATAGAGTCTCACCTCTAAATCAGTTTAACACATCACATATACATATTCGCAGGCAGCATTATCACACAGTTCATTCCAGTACAACACCGATGCACTAGTGGCATCCATAGCATGTCACATTCATGAATACAAATAACGACAACAATCTCGTGCATGCGCACGCCAGCCACGCTCATTATGGCACTGTGACCACAGATTCACACCATGAATGGTCGCCGGTTACCCCCGCCTTACGGATACCACGTGGGTAGTCACAGGTTGCTCAGTAAATGTAGTAGTCAGAGGTCTAGTCAAGAAGAGAATGTGTGGCCCATGGTGCACCCGTTCCACAGTCGGTGTCACCACCACTCTACCTTCCCCAAGGTATTTCTACCATCCTCATCTTCCACACCCCTAGTGTATTGCTGAACCATTTACAGCATATTACAACGGCGCTAACATGCCCATCCGCACATATTCCATTCACACATGCAATAGTCATGCTTACACACGACACACAACCCACATTGCATTCAATTACACGGCACTAGGCCCACATTCATTTCATATTACATGGCACATAGCCAATATTCATCTATATTACACGACCCTCGAGCCCACATTTGTTCACAATATTCATTCTATCATGCAACATCTAGCATACAATTCACATTCATCAATTTCGGGTAAACACACACAATATTCACATCTCACGGCATATGGCCCTCATCACATTTCTCAATAATTTCCTACCCTCTAACTAAGTTACATCACAATATTCTACAATTAACAGCAAATCACACATAATAGAGTAGGATAGAGTCCCCCTTACCTTGGATTGAAGACCTACACTTAGATTCAACCTCAGATGTGTTCTCCACACAGATTTCGACCTAAACACATGAAGAAACTCCATGAAAACCCAAGGAAACCACAAAAATAGAGGATGGGGTTGAAAAACGAAAACCCTAATCATTAAAACTTACCTCCAAACACCCCAAACGTGATTTCAACCTTCAATCTAACTCCCGAACGACTTTTGAGGCAATTTAATCGGTGGAAAAGGGTATGAGAATGAGAGGATCCAAGGAACTTCGAAGGGAAAGGGAGAAATAACCTTCCCCGAACCCTAACCCCCTTTAAAACCCTTTCTGGCCGCGACACTCTTGCTACAACGACACGCCCTCACACTGCAGCAAAAAACTCAGAGGAATCTGCAGAATCTCGCTACAGCGAGACGTCTCTCGCTGTAACGAGAAGGCGACAGTTTCAGTCCTTCCTTCTAGGGCTCTCTCGCTATAGCGAAGAATTCTTTTGTTGCAGCGAGAACAGCCTAGGATTACACCCTTAACCTATTTTCAGCATCAGAAAATCCAATCCAATCATATATACATATCTATATGTACCCATATGCATTTATACACATCACCGTTTAACATTTACTACACACTCAAGTGCCAATTCTAATATTCAATTACATTTACACACACACACACACAAATATATATATATATATATATATATATATATATATATATATATACATACATATAACAATAATCAATGTTAAAAAAATTCGGGGTGTTACAATTAATACATGTGTGTGTGTGTGTGTGTGTGTGAATTAATGTTTGAATGTACATTTGATTGTGTGATGATTTGGATGTGAATATAATCGTGAAGATATATGTATAGTGTGGTTGAAATGTGATATGGACTTGTGATTGACTTGGAGTTGTTTGAGATATAGGATAAGGGTGTGCTACAGAGACATTCTTGCTGTAGTGAGACTGTCCTGGGCAAAAGGGGTGCATTTGTTGCATTCTCGCTGTAGTGAAAGGGCAACAAAAAGAAGGTATTTTCTGGGTGCAGTTTCGCTATAGCGAGAGAGCCTCGCTTTAACAAGATTCTGCAGAAACCAGAGTGTAATTCCCTTTGATATTTTTGCTATAGCGAGAAGGAGAACTTCGCTGCAGCGAGAGATGTCTCGCTATAGCGAGAGTGTCGCTACCAGTAGGGTATTTGAGGGGTTTAGGGTTCAAAAAATGCATTCTCACTCTTTCCTCTTCATCTCTCTTTCGATTCTCCTAATTCCCGGCTCTATTTCAATGATTAAACTGCCTCCAAAGCCATTTGTGAGCAAGATTAAAGGTTGAGTTGGTGTTTAAGACATTTAAAGGTAAGTTTTGTGAGCTAAGGTTTTGGTCTTACATCGCTTTCTCCATTTTCTTGAGTTCTCATGGAGATTTCCCATGTTTTAGGGATGAAGCACCATGTGGGGAACATTTTCTGCTATTATTTTGTGTTGGGTCTTCATTTGAGGTAAGGGGGACTTTACCCTATCTCCTTTTGTTTTGAATCTGTTTATTTGTTATAAGTTGCAATGTGGTTGAGATAGAATGTAGGAATAGGAATGTTTTGATAAAGGATTCTTGATTGAGCATGATGAAATGAATGATGGACATGAGTACGATGAATTGACTTGATTATGGTAGGGTTTCTATGAAAATTTGATGTTTGAGTGTAATGTGATTGAATGTGGGCATACATGTCGTGTGTGAACATGATATTATGATGTGAATGTGGGTGAAATGTGTGTAAACATGCCATTGATTGATGTTGAATAATATGACATGGTTAAAAATGTATGGAATGGCAATGTGAATGTGGATGTGTCCGAATATGTTGGAAAGCTGTGAATGGTTCAGCGATACACTGGGGGTGTGAAAGATGAGGGTGGTAGAAATATCTTAGGGAAGAGAGGTTGGTGGTGACACCAACAGTGAGCGTACAGGCCACACATTCTCCTCTTGACTCGGCCTTTGACTAACACATTTGCT